ATTAACCTATAACAAGATATAGAAATCCTAAAGATATTGAATCCATGAAGTTAATGGATCATTGCATAATTGTGAGGATTGTTGTCAAATTTGGCTAAAGGACAACTTGATCTTTTTTGGTTTAATATCAATGAATGTATTGATAATCATGTTAGTTTTGGATGGTATAATTAAGGGTTTATGTGTTAGGCTACTTGATTGCATCCACATCACGAAAACGCTTTCATCATGTTCATGTATTCAAAGACAAAAGCAAGTGCATAGTTTTCAAGAAAGGATAATGACTAGACATGTTCAATCATGGAACACAAAGAAAATGATCAAATCTTTGTGGATATCACAAGCTCCATAGAGGATATGTCTAGTACTTTTCATAGTCTTCACAAACATGATTTTCATGGAGGGTCGAATACTTATACATTCGGCAAGGTGAGCCTAATCATAGAAAAAAATTTCAACATCATGAAAAATATATTTCTTTGCATAATGCATAATTACCATTACTAAGCGTTAACTCACTAATTGTCTTGTGATGTAGGTGAATTAATAATATATGAAGACTTGAGGTGAAGTTAAAGATAATGCCAAACAAAGTCAAGGTTGTCGAATATATACTATAACCGTAGGTTAAATGTTATAAGTTTAGGCATTTTCTATCTTTATTGCCTTGGTACTTTTTGTAAACTTAGAATGTTAATAAATATATGGTTTTGGATGTTTATAAATTAGTTTAATGTGTTGGCAAGTTTAATTAAATAGTTAAATAAAATGAATTGATAAAATTATTTCTAATAACTTAATAAAATGGTTAAACAAAAATGATATCTAAAGTTCAATAAAGTGGTTTTCTATTATAGTTCTTAAAATGGTTTCAATAGTCATATATTTAATTAAACTTGGATTGGTTTTTAAAAGAATAATAAATTGTGTTTAAGGAACTAATGGATTAATACTTGAAAAAGGATTTTAAAATGTTTAAATGTTTATGAAACCAAAACTTGAAATGGCTTCCAATGAACTTAGTCTCGTAATTTGGTTTTAGTTTGCAAATCAAATAGTTTTCCGTTGCTTAGTGGTTTTCAAAATATCTATAAATAAAATTGAGAACACGAGGCTTAGTGTTTCACATTTATTACACTTCCAGTGTGAGGCATTATTAGTAATATTCTTGATTTTAATTAGGTCAAGGGTGTTACATTCTCATTATATCAATTATAACCATATAATCAAGGGTAAACTTTATTTTTTAAACCTTAACAATAAACATAATAACTTTAAGAGGTTGGTTGGTAGTTAAAAAAGTTTGATCTTTTTTATTTTATTTTTTAAGTTCAAAATTTAGGGGCAGCATCCAGAAGAATTATTTAATTTTTCTGAATACACTAGAAAGATATGAACGGAGCATCCTTAAAAATATCTAGGAATGACTTAATTTTGATTGATGGACAAGTTGGTCCAAAGAGTCAGAAAAAAAAAAAAACCCAATAAACATAATACTATATATTTTGACATTCTAATTATAATTTCACCAAAATATTTCACTAATATCTTTGCGGAGACTTATGGATGTACATGAGCATTGTATTTTAATAAATGATTAAAATTATTTTTAATTAAATTTATTAAACACATTTCATCATCAACTTCGTGATATGATATAAATATCATAAAAAGTAAAATTATTTTTTGATAGATCAGTTTTATATTTTTTATTTTACAAATAATTAAATTAATACACAACATTCTCTTTTTTTATAGAGTGAAATCCACAATACATAATAATAATCAATCAAATATTTTTGTGTAGTTAAGCTCCAAACACAAAGTAATTTTAGTAATGCAATAGAAATGTCAAATATATTGTGACATAATATTTACCAAAATTCTAGTTATGAATTATAAAAAGGTTTAATGAAAAATTTTGTCCCCAGTTTATTGCAATTTGGCAATTCCGTGCCCTTAGTATAAAATAGCATAATTTGAATAAAAAATTATTGGTTTTGGGTAAAATTGATCTAATCTCGTCAATTGTCATTATATGTAACGATCAATTCAATTGGATTGATCATTATTTGAAATGCCAAAACGACATCGCTTTTACATTCGTCGTTAATAATATTTTAAAAAAATTTAAAAATATTTTTAACTCTCTTAATCTTGAACTTTAAAAAAAAAAAATTCTTATAAAATATTATAAACATTTTGTAAATTATATATAAAAAATTATAAATATTTTTAATCCCCTTAATTTTGAACCTTTTTAAACTTTTTTAATAAAATATTATAAATTTTTTATTAAATTTTTTTTTAATAATTTATAATTTATAAAATTAAGGGGTTAATTATTCTCATTTTAAAAAAGGCTTGAAATTGTGTATTGAGCATTAAAATGCTTATAATGTAAATTATAATATTTTATAAATTAAAATAATATAATCAAGGGTTGACCCCCTAATTTGTAAATTATAAATTATAAAAAACATTTTTTATAAAATATTTATAATATTTTATAAAAAAATTTAAAAAAGCTCAAAATTAGGGAGGGTTAAAAATATTTATAAATTTTTTTATATAATTTATAAAATGTTTATAAGAAAAAAATTTTAAAAAAAAGTTTAAGATTAGGGGGATATATATATATATATATATATATATAAACATAATTAACAATGAAACATCAAAATAACGTCGTTTTGACATTTTAAGTAACCTCTAGCTTATGTTGGCCATTACATATAACGACGATTAGAAAAATTGAATCAATTTTATCTAAAAACTAATAATTTGAAGTTTAAATTACATAATTAGTACTAAATACCTAAAATGTCAAATCGTAATGAAATAAGGGCAAAATTTGTCATTAAACCATTATAAAACTAATTTCATAATATTTATATTTGATGATATCTTTATATCTGTAATAAAAAAATTTTGAACCCATGTTTACAAATGAGAGTAAATTCCGTGTCTATAATTTTTCTACTTCTAAAAGATATTTATTGTTCCATCTTAATTTCTTCACCTTGTTTTATAAATTGATCTCTTTCATTTTTATTTTTCTTGCATATTTTTCAATAATTAAACAGTCCTTGAATAAAAAGGAATAATATTTTTTATTTTTTTATTAAATAATAAGAATTTCCATTTTTATCAATGTTATTACTTACCCTTTTTTATTGCTCTAATATTTTTATTATTTTGAAAAATATTTTGACAATCAAATAAAATTTAAATTCTGTACCATCAATCTTTTTCTAATTTCTAGAAGATATTAATCGATTTTAATTAGTGCCAAATAAAGTAAGTAATAACTTCAATAAAAAAAAAGTAATTATCAATCAATCTTATGTTAAAAGTATTGGGCCAATCCGGCCCAAATAAATTATCACATTTTTAGGCTTAATGGTGGGAGTCGACGTATAGATTTGTTTTTCGGAAAAACAAATGTTCTAATTTAAAAAAGAAAAAACCAATGAATTAGGTATAAAAAGAAATCTTCGGACCACTTCCTTAACTAAAGGATTCCGAAATCCTCTACATCTTCCCCGTTTCTTTTTCTAAGTGAGGGAACCAATCAAAATAAAAGTTTATATATATATATATATATATATATATATATATTAGCGACCAATCAAAATGGATTTAATGATGAACATAAGTGAAATAGCACAAAATTCAAACTCTTTTTTGTTTTCACAAAATTTTTAACTTATTCTGGTCTCTCTCTCTCAGATAAATAAAAATCTTTAATTGAAATTCACTTTTTTAATGCTAATGAGAATAATAGTAAATTCGTGTGTGTGTATATGTGTGTGTGTGTGTGATTTTTTAAAAGTTATTTTGTATAAAAAAAAATTATAATTTTTCCCTGAGCGCTGCTATATCACACAAAAATCTAGTAACGAGCTTATCACGGACAAACTCAATGGTAAGATAGGTAATTCCTTTCAACTTTTGGGCTATTTGTTATATTTGTCTGTTCATGTCCTTTTCGTTAAAAAAGAAAAAACAAACCCATTTAATACAGCTTTGCTCTTTTCCCCTATTAAAATGCGTCAACTATTTTGAAACTTTCTATTGTATTGAATCCACAAATTAAATTATGTAAATTTTTTGACGAATTCCACTCTATATTCGTTATATTAAGCAATTTGATCCAATTATCCTTAAATTCTTAACCAAAAAAAAAAGGGATCACAAAGAAACATAAGTTAATTAAATAAGAAGTCTAAATTAAAATTAAGTTTCTTTAATTGCTATTTTTCTAAAATGTATGAGGTGTTAGGAGAATTGTGCAGATCCCAGATCAATTTTTTTTGTTGTTGATTTTTAAATTTTCTTTTTAAATTAAAGTATGACATTTTAATAATAAAAAAATAAAACTGTGTATCGTATGGTTCATATTTTTTATATCGACAAGTATTTAAATGTTTGCTAAAATTGAGAACTGTTGGATTGCATTGTCCAAATATAATAAATATAGAGTCGAATTTATTATCAAATTATTTATGAAAAATTTAATTTATTAATTTAATACGAACATATAATCTCAAAGTGAGGTTTTCTCATGCATAGACAAACATAATGACAGGCAATAAACGTATTGGTTAATGATCCAGAATAAAAGAAATAAAAGAAAGAATTCTTTCTATGCCTTTGGAGATCGAGCCAATGTTTCAAATGCCAGTTTGCATAAATCGATAATTGAATGGAAGACTGCGCCTAACCTTACTGTTGTCTCAGTTTCACTTGAAAACATGGGACCCGAAGTTGAGAAAGACGAAAGAAGAAATTTAATTATCTCAGGAAAACAGAAAGAAAAAGAGGAAACTTTATTTATTTAATCTAGATGGCACAGAGAAGACAATGTTACATGTACCCACAAAGGTATAACATATGGTTACAAAGCGTTGGTGAAACTAGAGATGGTTTTCAGATCCTTATCCCTGGTTTCTTAATCTTCACATGATCACATCTTAGTTTTAGCACTAGAAGAAGTTTCAAGGATTTTTGGAGAGAACCCTGCCTATAGCTCTGATAGTATTTGGGGTAGTCCTGCAGCAGCCTCCAAATAGAGAAGCTCCGGCTTCACGCCACTTGCCTACGTATGAAACAAAGTCTTCATCTACCACTCCACTTGATTTCTGCAACAGTAAGCATCAATTTAACTTCTGAATCACTAACGCTAAGGAAATGGTACAAGTGATTGATCAAGAAACAGGAACAAATACTGCTTCAGGATGATATTATGATGTTAAAGAACATCAGTTGTCCTAAAAAGACTCGTTTGCATAACATTATAAGCAGTAATTCTAATTAAAGAATTAGCAACTGCACAGTACTTCAGGAACTCCTCCTTATCGGGAGGTCGTGCTTGGAGGTAGAAGTCCACAAGACAGCCTAGTACACAAGCAATAAAAACTTGAAACAAAAAGAACACCCCATCAAGTACTCACCATCCACTGCTTGAGCTCAGCATTGTATGTCTCGCCGCTGTTTGGATATATGACTACTGGCTTACTTGTTGCCTGCCAGATTAATCAGCCAAATAGAGTTAGTCCCACAAGTTAATTTGTAGCAGAGGTTCCTTTGGAAATTTGGTTCAAGCGAGAAAAATTATTAAGTCAGAAATAGACCTTTCGGATGGAGAGAACAAGTCCGTGGATAAATCTAGGAGGGGTACAGTTGATTCCAACAGCAACAACTTGTTTGCATGAATCTGCAATGGAAGCACACTCAAGGATAGAATCACCACTGACCACATTAATTCCATCCTTGGAATTAAAAGAGAACCATGCTGGAATATTTATCTCTTCCTCCTCAAGAAGCTCAGCATAAGCCTGCTCAACAAAACCGAGCAAAATTAAGAGCATAAGTGCCAGAAAAGGTTACAATATTCTCAATAAAAGCCACAGAATCAGTAATCTACTCAAATTAATGTGAACAAGAAATATATGAACTACCTTTGCCTCAAGCTTATTTGGAATTGTCTCAAATGCAATCAGGTCAGCACCTGATTTGGCTAGAATCTGTAACCTTCTCCTATGAAAATCCTTCAATGTTTCTAGAGAAACTGCATCACCATATTTGCCACTGTAAAGAAAGACAGCATCAGATAGTTGCCATATAAAAGAAAAGGAATTACAATAAGGCATATATGATGACTTAGATTGACGTAATATTTGGTGATTGCTCGTATGGGACATATGGTCGCATAATCTGATAAGACGAGCAAATAATATGTTGTTAATCATTTAGTTACTTGCCTATACTCAGAGCCATCAGCCAAATAGGCACCATAGCTGCCAATGGAACCAGCAACTAAAACAGGACGTCTCGAGATATTTCCACTTTCAATGTAATCCCAACAACCTTTGGTACATTTGTCATAGTAAATTTCCCTTGCCTCACATGCAATTTCAACACTTCTCCTCAGCAATGATTCAGCTTCTTCTTCAGACAAGCCTTTTGCCACAAAACCCTGAATAGTAGCCTGTCACGTTGTTGTTTTATTAAAAAAAACAAAAAAACAAAAACTTTTAGCTAATTAAAAATTTATCCCTGCCAAAGTTGGGTTAATATAATTCGAGTATCAATACTAAAAATACCTGATAAGATGCTGTTATTACGATGTTTGCTCCAGCATCAAGATAATCCAGGTGAACCTGTCACATTAAACACAAGTACTCCATTATTGACCAACAATAACATTAATAATGATCAATAGAAAGGAATGCCGTGGAGAACAACGTCTAACGGAATGTAATGTAATTATCCGATTTTAGCAGTCCACGAACGTTTTAAGCATGTAGACACGAGAACATGTACACGAGATCCATAATGCACAAACAATCGGCATAGTTTCATGTTTCTTCAAAGTCCAAAGTTGTAGTCTTCCAACTGCATACATCTACTGGTCATGTACCAAAATTGGCCAACTTCCGTGCCGACTAGGGACCATTACCTTTCTATATATAAACAAACAACTTTAAGCACCCAGCTTATTCTCTACCAGGTTATGATCCACGCCTACGAAGTAGTGATTCACGCCATATAATTCACGTGCACCTACTCTTTTCAATTAAGGAATATTTTACATTTTTCAAACAAAACAATTGTGGTCAACTTCTTAATTTTCAATAATGTAATGATATATAGCAGTTTCATTTCTTTGAATTTTCCGGAATATTTTAATTTGTTCCATTTTCATACTCCCAATACCATCCATACACCGTAAGATACTACTATTTTTGTTCTTCCAACTCGTATATATACAGTTTTTCTTTTCTTTTTCCTATTTTACAAGGACTCATCCTTCTATTAAATACCCATTGATTTATTCTTGATTAAATTACATAAGCATGTGTACATGTATTGTACTTCAAAGTGCACGAAATAGGCACGTGTTATTCGTTTAAAGAAAGAACTAGACACGTATCTTGAAATCTCCACACGACACCTAAAAAGACAACTTAGTTGGAGCAAGAAAGCCTTTGCCACGTAGTTTCTTAGAAGATAATTAACTCTCTCCCTTAGTTATATCATATATGTAAGAGATACGACATTCGCGGTCCTAACTTTTCCTTTAATTCATCCTTATTGCGAATTTAGTTAGGAAAATAACAAAATCCCAATTGATGTATCCAGGACACGTCTCTCACCAAACTGTTAAAAAAGGAGACCTATTTGCTCTAACTAAAACTGTACAAAATCCCTATGTAAAAAAAATAAAATAAAATAAAATAATAAAAAACTCCTACAACCAGGGACACTCGTATTCCACACTCACCCAGATACCAACTTCTAAAAATGATCGTATTTATATCAAAATCCACAAAAAAAAATTCATTAGGAGGATGGATTTTCAATTTGCAAAAACTGAAGAGGATCTTCCATTTGCAAAAACTTTGAAGTTAGACGTCGGAAAAAATAAACAAATGTTCATCCATGCTTGGAAACAAACAACATGACACAATTAACAAGTGACAAAAGAATCTTATTGTCCAATCAAAGACATTAAAGTTTAAACCTTGAAAGGAAAAAAAAGAAAGAAAATGAAAATGGACATTTCATTTAATTTTTTCCTTTTATATGTTCACGATCGAAAGATCGAGGGGGAAAAAAAACAATTAATATGCACAGAGAAATGCGTACAATTTTACATATTTAGGAAGAGGGAGAGAGAGTTACCCTTCTAACGAGGTGAGGAGAACTGATGAGACATTTGGCACTCCAGAGAGGGTCATCGAGGTCAGCACCATGCCGTTCGAGTTCAGTGGCGAAGCCGCCGTCAACAACAGCATAGCCACCACATTTTTGGAGGAAATCCGTCATCAACGACGTCGACGAAGTCTCAACGTTTCCCAATCCCATATTGTTCATTATTATGATAAGAAGAAAGAAAGGCACAACAGGATAACAGAGGGATGATGATTAGTTGCCAATACGTCTTTGGTTGGTCAAAAGAAACTGAAAGCACCAAGTTAATGCTTTACAAGGTCTCGCAACCATTTTATAGCAAGTCCGTGAAGTTATCTTACATGCCCCCCTACTGTCGGTAGATGTTGATAAATCAACCATTATTCTAGCAGATATTGATAAATTAATTATTATGCTATAATCCGACGTGTCGTTATCACACGCAACAATAAATGACGTGTCTTGTATACTGGAAATCTAAGATTCTGACTCCCATGATAGCTTCTTCAGTACTTACTACTAAGGATGGTTTTGATAATGTGTCCGGCCTGGCCTGGCCTGTATTTGAAATTGTCTTTCAAAATATTTAATATTTTTTAAAAAAGATTTTGAAAAATATGAACAAAAGATTTGGTGCCTATCTCTCTCCTCTGTAAATTCATGAAATAACTTCTACATATGTTATTAATTATTTTTTAAAATATTATAAAATTTCTCGGTATTGTTTATGTTATCTCTTTCTTTGGTGGTCAATATAAAACAAATCCTGATGAGAAATTGTTTCTATCTACCTAACATAAAACTAGACACAGTTTCCACTTTCATCACAGCAGCATGTATCTGGCCGGTTTAAAGTCCACGTTCTTTCTATTAAAATTAAGAAACGCAACGGATGTTTTATAGTCCGAGATTCCTGCTTGAATCTGATCTAAAATTCTGTCCAGATTCTGTCCGTTTTGAGGTTTTATTTTCACCATGCCTTGTGGAAAAAAAAAAAGTAAACCCACCTGCACGATTCAAAAACTTGCGATTCCAGGGATGTATGTCCGTTTCTACCCTCCAAGAAGAGGCGATATATATGCACACGACGACAGTGACTGACGAATTGATTTTTAACTTCTACACTATCATGGCTGATTAAGAATTGCCACAGCGGAGCTAGGAAAAAAGTAAAATTTTTAATAAAATTATAAGTTAGAAAAATAAAGTTTTTTTTCCAATAAAAGAATGTTAAAGAAATTCATTAAACCAAAAAAATAAAACATATTTGCAATTCTTCGAGTCAATATTCTTTTATATATATATATATATATATATATATATATATATTAGTTTGGTTTGAATGTTATGGATGTCATTAGGTTAATTTTCACATACACAGTTTTTTTCCATCATGTTTTTAGCAAGCTATCCTCGTCTAAAATATTTTGTAATATCAAGAAATTATTTTCTCATAGATCACCTATAAGATTTGTACATAGAATGATAATACGAAAAAAAAACTCATTAATTAAAATAAAATATTATTAATTAGCACTTCTTCTTTTTTTCGGTTAACTAATCCCTAATACGAAAAGTACTTTTATAGTAACTCCTGAAGTAACATTATATTTAACAATCTCTTTAAAAGAAAGAGATACATAAATATATATATATATATATATATATCCTCAAAACATACTCATAGAATAACTAGTAATTATAATTACACATAATGTAATATATAATGTCAAACTTATTATAAGATTAAAATCCAAATGGATCTTGAAACGAACATTCTATTAAAATTGAATTTGGATTCGTGTCCAAAATTCTGATGAAATTAATTGTCCACAAAGAGCACGTATCAAGATATATATATATATATATATATATATATATATATATATATATATATATATATATATATATCCTAGTAAACACCAATCACATGAACATATATAAGCAAAACTTTATACTCTCCAACTAATCAATAATCACTTTTCCTTAGCAACTAGCTATTGTGTCTCGCGTTGCGAGAGTATTTTGCATAGTTTATTGTGATTGCATTATTAGTTAGTTTAATAATGTAATTTTCTGATTAAATTTAGATATTGTGATTAAATAAAATATAATTATATAATTTAGTCATTTGGTAATCATCAAACTCAAAATCTTTCAGCAAACCACGATAAATTTTGATTTTATAATATATTAATTTTATTTTTCAAAAATTAATACTTTCAATCTCCCAAATATAACATTTATTTTAATTAGAAATTAACTCAAAATGATTTTTTTTTTAATATATATGCAATATGATGTTTTAAGAGAATAGGACCCGACTGTTGGAACTTTTAGAATGCATTAATAGGAAAAATAGAATAAAGTAGAATAAATAAAAATATCAATAGAAAAAAATAAATACACTTATCTACCGTAGTATGTAATCACTGTCCTTAATTGTAAATTGCACCTCTTGAAGAATATTTCTTAATACAATATGTCAAAAGCATCTTATTCGCCTAGATACAACAACCTATCATATAAAAACGTGCACGTACTCGTAGTGCATAGATACATGTGAATGCTCAATCCCACTTGCCAAAAAAAAAATTATGTTTTAATTTTTTCAAAAAAAAAAAAAAACCTTATTTCTCAATAGAAAAGATCATTATTTTATGTATATTCTCATACTAGATGTTAAAAAATATTTATTCCTATGTAACGTAAAAATAAATAACAAATTAACTATTAAATTATAATTCATTTTTTTAATAAATTTCAATGGTTCATAACAACTATATAATTTCTAGTAATGCTTGTAATAAGCATTAATAATAATAGAAATAATTTAATATCATAATAATTAATTGTATTGATATTACTATATATAACTTTTTTTTTCATTTGATAGAATTGTGTTTAAAAACTTTTTAAAACAAAACACTATTTTGTATTAGAAAACATGATTATTTTATTTTTCTTCTCATATCAAACAGTCTAGAATATTTATATGATTTTATAAGAAGAAAATAAATAACAAATTAATTATTAAACTATAATTAATTATTTTAATAAAGTCACAATGGCTAGTAACTGCCATAAAATAATTAATAACGATTGTGATTATTATTAATAGCAATTAAAAATATTTAATATCATAATAATTAATAGTATTAATATTAACATAACTGTTTTTCTATTTAATTAGATCCGTTTTATTATTATTATTATTACTACACAGATGAGGGTTACGAAATTTCAAAAGGTACCACCTTATTACCACATATTGGTCTATATATATATATATATATATATATATATTCCTTTATTCCTCTGTACATTAACGAGGACCATATCCAACAATCTCATTAATTACAGGGAGGATAGAATTCAGCCGATTTAAGTATGAGAGAGAGCGGTGTTTGAAATGACCATAAATTTGTCCTTTTAGATGCAGCGATTTCTAGACGAAAGAAAGTGGTGGACATGCCACATCACTTTGGTCCGCCTGGAGTTCCACTCGATGAAAAATCTTGAAGAAAAGTAATGTACAGAGAGACATGACAAGCTTATCTTGTTGAAGCAAAATGGAGACACTCTCTGCGGCATGGGTATCTTGCTTTCACAATCACTCTCCATTAGAAAATGTCAATTCTCGCTAATGGATTGGGATTGTTCTGTTTTTTTTTTTTTTTTTTTTTACACTGATCTTGGCTGATCATGTGATGGAGATTAGTCCTTATACTTAAAGCTTTAAGGCGAATATTTGCAAAACAAACTCCTCTTTTTAGGTTTTAGAAGATCCTCTAATAGATAAATTAACATACAAAGAGAGATGTTTGATCTGATTAGACTTAGTTATATATATTTTGGGTTGTATGGCTTGAATATGTGTAGTAATAAGTTATTTGTTATATGTAGATAAAATATACAATACTTATTTTTGTATACTATAGAGCGTGTAAAAAGCGAACCTAACCTTTTGGCATATATAAGGTTAATATTTTTATAGTGGAGAGAAGATAATCAACTTGCATAGAATAGATGATGTATTAGTTTTTGCTTTAAGAGAAAATGAGTTTTTTTCTTATTATGTAATGGTTTTTGACAAGTATATCTACAAATTAAAGATCCTCCTAGATGAATATCCTTCAAAAGGTAGTACGAAGTACTTTGCATATGAAATTAGAGCTTTGGATGACCAATTTGAGATTACCCTTGACATTTTATATATGTTCCTAGAGATCGATCGTGCCATCATAGATGTTAAGTTTATTTTTTTAGCAAAAATATTCTCTTGGAAGCTTAGCATTTAGAATGTGCGGAGGAAATTGAGAAGTTTGGAGATTGTGGTTATAGTGGTCAACTCCGTAGTTATGTGATAGTGACCACTCGGTTGCCTTTTTTCCAATTAGCATTTGGGCTCGAGCTTACAGAAGAGGTTTGGGATGATGAGGAGCGAGCCCTATGTTTGTTTCTGTGTTGATTTCCAACTATATTGTGCATACTCTAACACTTTGATGATATTTTATTTTATCATCTTTTTTCTTTTTTCTCTTTGAGAGCCTTGGCTAATCTACTCTTTGCCACGGCCACGGACCTTATGAGGTTCTAAGAAGCAAGCATGATAAGTTTGAATATCGTAGATTTATTAGCGGAAAGACGATTTTAGGATCGTGTAGAGGCTCTAGTTGTGTTTGTGGTGTTAGTAACAAAGTAGCCAAAGTTTTTATCTACTCTTAAGTCTATATATAAGCCTTAATTAGCGACTCAACACGTTTTTGTAGCTACAAGAAATTGACTGTTAGAGCCTTGGACTAGCAAAATCTAATGGCATAGGATGTGAGGGAGTTTTCCGATTCTCAACCATATAAAAGTTTAGAGGTCGAAGAAATAAAAACATTAGAAACTGGCTTTTTACCTAGTTTTTCACAAACGACAACATTAATGAGGTCCGATTCATCAATTTATATAAATGGTTAGATGTATTTCTTCTTTAGTCGATCATGTGATGGAGATTAGTCCTATACTTAGAGCCTTAAGGTGAGTATCTACAAAATAAACTCCTCCTTTTGGGTTTAAGAGGATCCTTTAATGGCTAAATTAGCATACAAAAAAAGATGTTTGGTCCGATTAGGCTTAATTATATATATTTTGGGCTAGTATGGCTTGAATATGTTTAGCAATAAGTTGTTAGTTATATGTAGAGAAGATACACGATACTTATTTTGGTATATTATAGAGCTTGTAAAAAACAGAACCTAACATTTTGACATGTATGAGGTTAACAATTTTATGATGGAGAAAAGATGATCAATTTACATAAAATAGATGATGTATTAGTTTTTGCTTTTAGAGAAAATAGGTCTTTTTCTTATTGTACAATGATTTTTGACAAACGTATTTATAAATTAAAATCCTCCTATATGAATATGTTATATTGACATAAGTAGTGTCATTTTTCATATGGAGTGTTATCGTTTACTTAATGTATGTCCATTATGCTTCTCTCTACTAGAAGAGTGAGCCAGGTCAGAGATTGATAATGAGTTTGGCGCATGGGAGTTCTTTCGGTACAAGGACCCATATTGCCGGCAATACTTGGAGTAGATGGATTTCTCTTTTATAAATTTACGAGAAACGCATGTCGGGTGATATTTTCTTCAGGACAGTAGGAGTAAAGCTTGTCCCTATCAATGAGTGGGATTAGGTTTGATCAGAGCCATATTTTTGTGGCTAATTTGAGTTTCAGCTGGAATTGGACAAATATGGGCTCTACCCTGGCTCAGTAACGGTTAAAAAAAAAAAAAAAAAGCCATTTATTTTCTTAATTCACAACATTATATACTTCAAAGCAAAAAGGGCGCAAAAAAAAAAAAAAAAAAATATATATATATATATATATATATATATATATATATATATATATATCAACGGTGAGCATGGACACAAATCTATTCAAATGATTTTGCAACATAAACATTTGGCGTAAAGGAAACAATTTACATTTGGGGTAAAGGAAAAGAAAAATTGAGCTAAAGAAATGGTAATGGAACTATATATTCCGAATAAAGAAGAAGATTAATTTAAGGATACAGAAATTTGAATAAATAAATAAATAAATCAGAGTTTGTAGGGTGATATGTTTGTTTCGACAGCTCAACGAGGTTTGCAGATTAATAAAAATGTTATTGGGGATAAGACAACACAATGGGCCACCTCTGAACTCATTTGAACTAGAGCTTAGTGATGGGCTACCTCAAGCCTCTACCATGCCGATTGCCACATCTCATTGCTTACTGCTACAAAAACTTTAACGAAAACATCGGTTTTGTTCCATGTTCCTGGGAAACATTGCAGCCCTAACTAAATTCTCATAAATTCCCCAGTTCCAAAACTGATAGATGGACCTAGCTGCAATGTGTAAAAACTAACCCAAGGATTCGCTTAGCCGTAAAACCAATATCTATAGTCTCACATTGCTCACGTTGGATTGAGACCCGACTATCATTGCAACAATAACTCGTACCAAAAAGCTTCCATCAATAGCAAAATTTGCAGTTGGGATAGGATTTTAACCAGGAAATGCACGAATTGCTAAACCCTTGCAATGCCAACACATCATATGCAAAAAGCACGATAACTTGTAATGAGCAAAGGGCTAAAACTTCAACAAACCTTATTTCCCTATTCATGCACAGTCACGAGGCATGTTTTACATTCCTATGAAGAAAACGTTTGCAACCAATGAAACTAAGGGCTAGATGTCATGACCCAAGACTGATTGCAAAATGAAAGAGGGAGAGACAATAATGGGGAAGGAAAAGAACATAGCTCAGGGACCGTGAGCAGGGGTAAAACAGAAACAGCCAGATGCCTGATCTTCCGGTATCATCCCTCCTCCCTTGCTTGTATCAATCGCTTCTAACATTTTCACCACCTCGGCCATTTCAGGACGTTTTTCTGCATGCCCATCCCAGCATTTTCGCATGACATTTGCAAAAGAATTTGGACAACATCTTGGAATATCTGGCCGTAAATTCTGCCAATAAAATCATGCAGTGTGAAATTCCCAAAATATATGACCTTCGGCAGGATGCTAGATATTAAGACCTTGAAGTTTTAGTAAAAGAACAAATTATTTTCACATGTGATATCAATTCTCCAAAGAGCTTTACAGCTTACAACTAAACTTAGCTTTTTCCTCTCTTGCTTGTAAAAACCAATAAGAGCATTAAAAAATATTCGGAGGGATATCCTCATATGTCAATTCCATATTGCTAGAAGTAGCCGGGATGCATCAAAGTTGTACAATTAATTAATGGACCAAAGTTGTTCATGAACTCCTGATATTGGCTCCCTCGCATGCAAGACATCAAATCATATGCCATGTGGATAACAATATTGTCACAAAGTTCTCTCCTAAACCCTTTAATTGTGAACAGTGAGATAACAATTGCTTTGAGCCTCCTCCGGTCACCATATAATAAGAAAGAAAAGAAAAGCATGAAAAAAAAAGGCATCTGGGTACCAACTAACCTGTCGAACAACAGCAGAGGATACATCAGCGAAGCTAAGATCAGGATAAGGCATGTCACAACAATAAATTTCCCATAAGCAAATGCCAAAGCTGTAGACATCACATCTTCTGTTATATGGCTTGCCATCAAGAACCTGCATAAGTATCTGATTAGAAAGGTGTAACTCAATAAGAATTCAAATGTGCCAATTCAATTGCATTCCATGTCCATGTGGTTATAAATTTACAATTAACAGCAAAAGCATGCCTTTGCAGAGTCCATAGTGAACATGCCACAATGATAAACTTTACCATAGTTACACATCATTTATATGCATCCTCGGACTTGTTTAAATAACCAACAGCTTTTAATATAAAAATTTTCTTTATAAACTACTTCCATAAAAATTGGTTTTATTAAAGCATTAAATACCTCCGGGGCCATGTATCCAAGGGTGCCAGTTTCACCAGTCATGTCACATGGATTTTGAGCTTCAATTCGAGCAACACCAAAATCAGCAATTTTAAGAGTTCTATGAGAATCTAGTAACATGTTTTCAGTCTTGACATCGCGATGTACAATCTTCTTTGAATGTAGATAACTAAGACTGCAAATTAGTAACACTAGTCAGTAACTTCAATATCTTTTTTTTTTTTAAGGAATTTTTCAATAAAAGAAAATGAACAAAAATTGAAACTCACCCCCTTGCAAGATCCAAAGCAAGTTGGATTACAACCTTAAAAGCAAGTTTCTTTCGCCCATTTCTTATCAAATATTGTTTTAGCGTCCCACCAGGGAGATACTCAACAACAACACAGCATGCCCTAGCAGGAAGGGTGATGTGACAATCAGATGGATTTTTGGCAGGAATCTTGAGGTTCGAAGTTCCCATTGATGCTCCAACAAACTGTTAAAAAATTGGGATATAAAGCATCAAAAATAAAAATGACATGAATGATAAGCTTATGGTAATATCCACAATGGCTGGAAGAATGATCCTTCAAGCATATGGGTTCAACTCAAAAGGCTTGCTTAAATGGCTTTGTTAACATAAGTCAACATTTACATATCGTTTACGAATTCTACTATGATAAGATACACATGTACTATGCTTATAACAAAGTTTCAAGAAAACCAAGCTTCCCAAGAGGAACATATACTGTAATTATGGGTAAGGTAATGTAACATGGACAATTGCACAACCCAAAAAGCCAACTTTCACGTAATATGATGCTCATAATAAAATGAATATAACAAGTTGAAGTATAATTTTGTACTTTTGTAACATTAGGATGGTCAAGCTTGTGCCAAACAGCAACCTCTTGCCGAAATGATGCCCGCACGGCAGCAGTTTCTGCAGTTGTGGCAATACCATCCTCCCCCAGTCCAATAGTTTCACTATAACATCCAACAACAGTTCAGTGAGAGTTCAACATAAAGACACAGTGCTGAATGCTACTAATCTCTCCAATGGAAACAGACTGCAGTTTCATCGATTCTTATCAAGAGTTGAAGCGAAAAGATCGTGCAGGCATTAGAGATCAAACAACCAAATTCAGACAAAGTATGAAAAAATTTTCTAAACTTCCAATGACTTCTTGAACAAGGAAAAAACAGAGAGGGCATAATAAACATCCTAAAATCATCACATGATAGTCAATAATCAAAAAGATGATAAATTTCTATGGCATTGCAAAAATTAATGATCACAAGCTAAGATCTAATGAAATTATAATGCAAAATATCCAACCATGATGTCATCATATGAATTCTTTTATTTTCTTTTCTATTTTTTTCCCCTAAAATAAGAGATGCTCCCGCCTCCCATGTAACCATAAAATAAATTATCCCAGATTTAGAGGAAAATATCTTTACAACATACCGGTAATTTTCCCTGGGATGGAATACAATGCCTGAAAAACTAAGCAAGATGAGTGGTTTGCCCGATTACTTTTCATTGCCTCAATCCAGGCAGCATAAATAGAGACGCATTCAAAAGCTAAGCAGTATCATACAAAAGGAAACATAAAGGGATCCTGGAAAATTTGTTTCCTAGGATTAGCTATCAAATGATAAGGAAACCAAGCGAATCCATTTTGATACCATAATTACAATGTAATGCCCGGCAAAACTTCACTTCTAGATAAATGCAACAAAATTTAGAGCATGTTCACAAGCAGCAGAATAAAGGCAACACATAAAGATTTTGGAGGATAGGAAACACACAGTATCCTTATTTACTCTCCGGCGTGAGCTTTACAGAAACGGAAACCAAACAAAATTAAGAACTCTATAAATCAAAACAATAATAGCAATCAAACACGCATAAAAAAAATGTTTTTTAAAAAAAACAGAGATATACAGAATGAGCCCTGGGAAATGGAGAGCAATTACCTGCAACATCTTGGCTATCATAAGTACCACGATACACAGTCCCGAAAGTACCATGGGCTACCTCGTGCCTTATTTCCAATTTAGACAAATCAATTTCCCACTCTTCTTTAGGCTTTTGGATTTCAATGTTCCTTGACCAAACCCTGCTCAGGTGCTTCTCAAGCTGTGCATCCAAGCTTTTAAGATCGATTTTATCAGCTCGAAAAAACATATCTTTGCTACTCATACCTCCTATACCTTTCACCTTTGAATTGACACTACCTTCCTGGTTATCCTGTTTCTTATCTGGCAAGACATCTTCAGCACCGCTTGTTTTTGAATCCATCATAAAGACCAGAACAAAATACAATACAATAACCGTGAATACCAAAGACAACCTTAAATTCTAGACGACAATCCAAGAATAGTAAAAAAGAAAAAAAAAAATCTAACGTCTAATGCAAATACCAATGAAAAGTGAAAAACAAACCTCTTCTAAGATCAAATTACTTACAAAGACAACAATGAATTTTTTTTTTTTTTAATCAAATAGAAACCCAATTCCACCAAACCCAAAATCCTATTCAGGCTCCCTCCAATATTGACCTTATAACCAAAAAATCAATATTTGTAATAGATTTCCCACCAATCAGAAAACGAATAACAAAAACGCTTTGTTTTTATGGTCTATGAAATTGACCCTTATATTGATTCCAAAACACAATTTCCGATCACCGACTGTATAGTTATTTAACGTCTCCTAATGAAACTAAACTACAAACAAAATTAAACTCTTAAGTAAATGACCCAATTCCAACCATTATCTGAAAAAAGACCAATAAAATAAGAATGACCCAAAAATTAAAAGCTAGCAAAAATTCCAAAAAATCAAACCTTTATGTAAAATAAAAAACAGCACGCATGCAAGCAAGCAAAACCCATAAACCCAAAAAAAAAGCTAGAGAAAAGATGATAGAGTTGACTTTGAATGCTCTGGAAAGGGATATAGTGAGCAATAATGACAGAGTCGGTGAAAGTTCAACGATGTCATATTCACCACATCATCATCGACATTCCCTTTGTTTTCTTCCACGCATTATAACATGGCAGAAGAGAGAATAAGGTTTTTTTATGGATGGGATTTCTAAGAAAAATAGTAACAAAAAAGAATGAAAAAAAAAAACGAATTGCTAACCAAATAGAGAGAAGCACGGAGGTTGGCAAAAATAAGGCTTTTTTTGTTGTTGGTACTTAGAGATGGTAGAGGAGAGAGAGAGAGAGACCGTTTCAAATTCTATGGCATACGGAAGTGTGATTAAATGGAAAGTACAAAACCAGTGTACGAAACATGAAAATAGCACACCATGTGCAATTTGGTTTTGATATAGTACGGTAACAAATCAGACCGTCCAAGACGGATTCGATAGTTAGGATATCTAGGGAAACAAAATCAAGTTAAAGTTAGCTAATTTGACCAGCTAAACCAATGATTTACAACCATAATTGTTTTTAAAATCCCCATCACATCTCCAAATCGATTTTGACTCTATATGGGATGGAAGTTTTAAATATGTTATTATTTTTACAAGTTTCTTTTTTTATATATAAAATATTTTAATTGATGATATAAATTAAATACATATATTACTATCTTTGTAATACAATAATGTCAAAAATAAAAAACGAAATTGTAACTTGTTACATTAAAAAAATTAGATAAAAATCTTTTTTTATAATAATGATGATGATGATTTTTATATAACAACTAACTTCATATATATTTATAAAAGTTTATTAAAACTTTCGAATTAAAACTCTGTTTACATATTATGTTCGGACGAGGATTGTAGATTTTTTTACACAATATGTACATAATTGAGCTTAATATCATTATAAATTAGCAGAAAACAAAACTTATTGTAAGGTTCCATTAACGACACAATCACAACTATTTAATATTGTTAAACAACCTAATGTCAATTGTAACCTAGAAAAGGAAAATCAAAATTTTATTTCAAGTGTAAGTGAGTTGTCTTGGTTTGATCAAGATGAAAGTTTAATTCCTATTATTTATAGATACTAATTTTTGACTAATTTAATCTAAGAGGAAGCTCGATGGTCTCGATGGTCGATTAAAAATTAAACATATTTTGGTACCGATTTAGTTTAAAAAATAATAAATTTAATTTTGATTGATGTGAAAGTTAATTCTAGAATAATTCATTAATTATATATATATATATATATATATATATGACAAAACATCCTATCACAGTCAAAACTTTATGTAAAAATTAAATATAAATTTAAAATTTATATATCAATTGTTAATATAATTAAAAAAAAAAACTAGGGAGATGAAGAGCAATCACCGGCGGATACTAGAGGTTTTTTTTTTTTTCTCTCCTAAGAAAGAACCGAGAGGAAGGAGAGGGAAATGAATGACTTGGTTGACCCCTACGTTATTGTTGCGGATTCTTTTATAAATATGGGTATAACCATTATTTTTTACATTTTTCAAGCGGATGCTCTATGCTTTTTTGTATTTGTATTTATTTTATTATTATTATTTAGAGAATTATGTGAATGCATTATCGAGCAAGGGGCATTTAGTTAAATCCTCTGTCAACTTAATATAGCACGTTATCGACAGACATGGGAATGGCAAGATCCTGATATTTATCCTCGGCCAAAAATAGCTATGGTTCTCTGATTTTGAAAATTGGTCTAATTGACCCCTCTATAAATATATTGATCACATCAAGCTTTCTGCTTTTAACTAGAAACAGCTTAGTAAAAGAACTGGTTTGATCAAATTACTTGTGAAGGGATCAATTAATCAAATGTCCGAAGTGAAGGGACAACCAGTATTTTTAGCCCTTTTTATGGGAAAAAAGAAAGAGAAAGAAAGTAACCTCATTTTTTAGTTACAAACATATATATTCATTCTCAATTGAATCTCAAAACTATAAATTTTTTCAATTAGGTTTCAAAAGTTTCAAAAAATTCTCAATCAAGTTTTTTTTTATGATATTGATCAACTTTTTTGTCAAATTTTCTTCAAAATAATGTCATTTTAGTACATAAATATACACATCAAATAAAAAATATTAGTATTCATCAAAATTTTTATCACATTTTCTTCAAATCAACACCATTTTAATGCATAAAATATTGTCAGACATAAATTATTGAAAGTAGTTGGTAAAAAGATACAGTTGAAAAATATAGAAGACATTTGAAACCTAATTAATAAAACTTATAAATTTGAGATGTAATTAAAAATAAATATGTAGATTTAAGATTAAATTAAGGTTTCTTGAAAAAAAAACTCCACAATCAAGTTAATGAAAAATAGCCAACTTAAAACTAATATGTTTAGATAGAGATTCTTAGATTATTTTATATTAATATAGAAGGAGTTTAATTTTTTGTTATAAGTGTGAAAAAAAAAGAAAAAAAAAGCTTACTTGAATTTTTTTAAGGATTGAGAATAGCATCCAATACTTAAAAATATTAGAAGTATAAAATCAATATCTATTTTATGATACGAATCATAGTGACATGTTAATCCTAGCATAATTTGTTTCCCAGAATGAATGACAGTAATTAAGTTAAAAATTAGTCATAGAATTTGATTCGTCCGGAGATCCTACCTCTTCCTGACTTGTTAATCGTTGTTGACTATAGATGTGTGACTCGATTTGAAATATGATAGTACTGTATTTTTTTATTTTTCATTTTTCGATAAATAATAATAATTTTTTGAGATAATACGAAGTTACAAAGACCGTTAAAAATTTTGAAAATTTGATACAGATCCTCTTTTATATTCAAAATGTCCTTGATTATATATATATATATATATATATATATATATATATATATATATATATTAATAAATTATAGAAAATATTAAAAATCAAACTAAGATTGCCAAAAATTAATTACACAGTGAATTTAATATTTTTCATGTACTAAAATATATAATAACCATTCTTTATCCTTTTTTAAAGTTTTTTAATTTAATTATCTATTTTTTAATGATAATTAAGCGTATCTTGAGTACAAAAGAAAATTGTTGTAATATTTTTTAAAAAACGTTGAGAGAATTTCTATCATGTCTTCAAACTTTTAAATGATTTTCATAATTAAAGAGAATTGTTATACTTTATTATCTTTTTTAAACGTGATCTTTTTTCCTTTTTTTTTTTTTTGTCAATGAAAGCAATACGTGCTATTTTGATGAGGAATTAGTATAAAGGTTTCAAGTATTCTAAAATCCAAAATTTTCAGGGTAAAATAGTAACTGAGAAGTCAGTTAAAAGTTTTTACATGAATTTGTGCTAATATAAATATATATGGATTATGAATATTGAAGTCGGAGAAGTAGATGCATCTGAGATCTTGTTGTCGCCATCAAAGTGAGCATTGTGCATATATCTTAACCAATTTATCATAAATTAACCCAATTATATATTACTGATATTCAGCTGCATCGATTCATATGCAGACTCTGCCGTCCTTTAATTTCATTGTAAAGACCAATATTTTGGCATTGCTGTAACTAAAACAATAACAAGGCTTGAATGATTTAGAATGTTTGTTAAGAAGCGGCAATGAATCTTAACACCATTAAGAAAATATACTTCTGTACATATTATATTTATGTTCTCAAATGAGGCAAATCACTACAAGAAAAAAGGTCGTAGAGGCAGAATCTCCGGGACAGTCAATAAAACCATCTCAAAATTTATTAATATATGATTTACATAGTTTACATAAAAAAAAATATGGGATGGTTGAAAAAATGACCCCACCTTTTAAGTAGCCAACACTCACTTTTGGTTTTTTTTTTTTTCACCTATATTGAGACGTGAAAAGAAAAATCGACGCTTCATCATCCCACCTCTCCCCTTGACTTCTTAGGTTTTTCTTCCTCTCCTCTCTTTTTTCTCGTACCCACTCCCACTCTATCTCCCTCTTTATCCTTAATTTTGAATTAGTATCAAACACACCTACCGAAGATTGCTTTGTATCGCTATTTCGGATACAATTGATGGATAGAATAGTCGAAATCGGTAGTGAAGTGGAAGCATCCTAACGCTGAAGTTGTCCTTCGTCCCTTTGTATCATTTCTAATGATGGAGAGTGTGTGGAGTTCATTAAGATCAAAGGCTTCTAAGATGCTTAATAAAGGAGCTCACATGGGGGTTGATCGTTTGCGGGACTTGGGCTTCCGAGTGATGGTCATGGTCTTGATGCTTTGCGGGTCTCTCTAGGTGTCTTTAATGAGACAAGTCTTCGGGGTAAGTTCGAAATCTTTTTTTTTTTCCTATAAAAAAGAAA